TGTCTTTCCTGCCCACAAATTTCACACCCACTAAATGCAACACTGTGATATATCAATTGTTTGTGATTTGATCTGATGCACTGTAGCCTGAGACTATTCGAGTAAGAAGTTTTCAGATAATCCTTAAAACATGGCAGTAATTCACCAAATGCTAAGGAGAAAAAACAAAACCAAAAACCTGCCAACTTCTAGGGAGTTTCTCATTTTAAATCACACAGACACACATTGTCACTGCAAGGTGTCCCTGACATAACTAGCTTCTGGCTTTCTGTTTTCTTCCCTGCTTTATAATTTAGGAAGCAAGTGATCTAACATGCAGTAAATACAAGATTGCTAGGAAAACCCCCACCACCTCCCCTCTTTACCACGGCTTTTACACATCCAGCAAAATACACATAAGAGGAATCAATTAATATGACATTTAAACGAGGAAGAAGTGGCTCTTTTAATTTAAGACTAGTTTCTTAACGAAATACATGGCACAAGACTATATACTTAAGGTATATATACAAAGAGAATAATTTGGAGCAAAGGGGTGGGGTGTGAGACAGAAGGAAGACAATCCGCTCTTTAGAGGTAGCAAGAGAATGGTTTTCTATGTTCACATTCCAAGCCTTTATCGTAGGTAAACCTGAGATGGGAACCCTTCCCTTTCCTCTCAGAAGGCAGCATCAAAAATAGATGCTTAGTTATAGGACCAATATGCATCCACATGCTGTTGCTAGAGAGACACCTTCTACTAACAGAATAATTACTACCAAAGACCATGAATGATCATAAAGGAGAAGACATGTGAACTTTAAAGAACCACAATACAGACTGCATACATGAATTTACTTCACTAAACAGGAAGCTACTTTGTTTAGCTGTACACCACTAAAGGTGACTTAACAGCTCAGTAAATGGTAAAGTATCCAAGGGTTTGCTCTCCAGATGTGATATTTAGAAAAAGCATCTTCCTTTGCTTTATTTGCAGTCTCCAGTTTTTCCAAAGGAAACAGAAAACCACAGGCTGCAGAAAAGGAACAGGGGGAATTTAATTCCACCATTTGATCATTAGAGGCTGTTAACTCTTCACTCAACAGTCCAGTAATGGATTTTACATTTGCCTGCATCAGCAGCTAACTCTTCCATGTAGCAAACTGCTAGGAAAAATGCTCTTAAAAGTGAGCTCTCCTTAGACACTGCTTTCTACCTAAGGGTGAACTACTTTGTACAAATAACTTGTCTGTTTCACCTTCCACCCTGGTCAAGGCAGTAACAGACATAAGTGCCACATAGATTTTATTGCCTGTAGAAGTCTCCATTTGAAATCCTTAGGGGCTGAAGACCCATTCCCATGGGGAAAATAAGGACAAATCCCAAAGTATAAACTGTTTCCACCAAAGAGGCAGTTTGGGTGCTGGGTCTTTGCCAGTTAAACAATCTACCTGACAATACACAGTAGAAAAATTCCTGATAGATACTAAACTGCAGTTTTGAAAGACCTTTCTGAAATTCTCTCATTGTTCTCATCTGGATCACTATAAAACTGAATGGACTCATTACTGCTGACAAGCAAAACTTTTATATATCATCATAAAAAGAAGTCACTGACTACATACAGTTGCAATGTAGCCAAGAGAGGCAGCTAAATGCAAAATCATTTCAACACAAACCTATGTATGAAAAAAAGTTATTTTAATGACATAGGAGGATATGGTTCAAATTAAACTACTAACAAAATGACCTTGTGTGCTCCAGCTGCTGAACTGTGCTTGAACACTGCCCTCTAAAGGCCTTCACACAAAGTGAAGAGGCTAAATACCTCTAAGCAATAATGGCATATAGAAAATAACTCAATTCACAGATGTTCGTGACAATTTATTAACTTGGGGCAAAGTTTATTTAATCAACACGATAGGAACATTATTTTGTTTATCCATTAGAAGCAACCAAAAATGTTCTGTGCAATCAGAACATTACAAGTCTTGACCTCAGAAACATTCTGCTCTCCTAAATCTCCAATAGCCAGTTAGATCTACTTCACAGAACTGCAACCTTCACTGAAAACTTTAACTTGCATCTTTTCAAGATGGCTACAGTTGAAAACAGAGTAATTTGAACTTACCTGTCATGTGCCATTGAAAGATATTACTATGAATTATTGATTACATTGCTACTAGTATAGTAGAGGATTAGTCAGCTATAACTTACATTAAACTGGATATTGACAGGTCACCAAATCAGGCAATTCCAGCTGCACACAGGCAGGTGAGCAACTCACATCAGTGACAGTGGTATGTAACTTACTTCAGCACCTCTGAAAACTGTATTTCCTCATTTAGAAAGTGAAAAACAACCATAATTTTCACTGGTTAAGCTGTAACTTCATTAATGAAAGAAGGGAAGGAAAAGTGTTTTTCTGGGTATCTCTAGCTAGTAACCAAAACTATCAGGCATTAATTGACACATGTGAACAGACTACTTTGAAAGATAAAAGTTAGGGAAAACCACACCACCATAAGGAAAACATGTCACTTGTGATGTTAATTTGGGAGTTAAAACTGCTAGGAGTTTGGGTGTTTGTCGACTGAATAACCAGCTGCCTGGTTTTTAAAAATGATTTGTTCCTGCTTCATACAAGGCTGGCTTTCTTTGGTTAAGACTGGTAGTATGTATGTGATGTATCACTCCTTACTTCCATTCTTCTGCTTACTACTGACCTTGTTCTTCATAAGGGTCATCTGGGTCATCTGCAACCAGCTCAGCACTGCTCGGTGTCTCGTGGTCCTCCTTGGTGGCAAATATGATTCTGTCTTTTCCTGCCATATGGGAGACAACAGGTAAAAGTTCAGGGACAGATGATGCAGGAGTCATTTACAAAGCTGCTGAACACCACAAGGTAATGAGATATTCAGCGTGATGCATTCATGTTAACAGTGAATTAATCCTGTTGTACTTTTCACCTTCAATTAGAACAGCTGTTGGTTCATACACAGCTGATACTCTACTCTTCTAAAGCTCCAGCTTTCACAGCAACGCACTGTAATGGCTGCAGATCACAGTGCAGTTCATTGAACTGTGAAGCTAAAAAGTCAAAACAAACTCAAACTACTCCATTACCAGCACTAACGGAGGTGAAGAGGAAAGGAAAAGAAACATTACACTGAAGTTTTCCATAGAATGCTTATTGATAACAGTGGTCTACATTAAATACTGGTGTAATATTTTACAGGAATTATCTGACTTAAACACTGAAAAGCACCATAATGGTGTGGAATCAACTATAGTGAAAGGTGCTGTGAACATTACCAAGGACAGAAACTCAAGACAGCACCTTCCTGCTTCTGTGCCACTCTTGATTTAACAAAGCTCTGTAGTGTGCGGGGGGAAGGCTTGGCTGGAAACCTGAGTTTTCTAACAACTATGAGCACTCCGAGGCAGATACAAGCAGAAAAGAACAGCCAGATGAAACTCTTCTTAACGCATAACCCAGTATTCATTGAGTGGAAAGTAAATGGGAAGTTCCCCCCAAACTTCTTTCTGTTCTCCAAGTTCATAAAGCCACAACAATGACTTGGCATGTTAGAAACTAGCATCTTTTTTGCCCCTCAATGAGACCTCAACCAGCTGATGTTCAGTAACTTCCCATTTAAATACGTCAGAGAAGCAGATAAATCTAAACCTCTTTTAACAGAGCAGTTTTCTGTCAGTTCTGCATTGCACAGTTAATATAAAATGTTCAGTTATTTCTTGCATAGAAGGAACTACTATATACACAAACTACTATATATATAAACTACTATATATACCAACTAAACGCTTTCACTAAGCTTTGTAGACAACTTACAGACCTTGTAAAGATCCAAGATGTTAAAATAAGCAAGTTAACAATAAAGCAAATGGGCCCACAGGTTACGACTTCCTCACCACAGTCTATGATCAGCATTCGATGTGTCAAAGCTCATAAATGAAAAAACGGCCTTTAGAATTACAGAACGGCTTTTTTTACAGACTGAAATTTCACATTCAGTCACTTTACACTGCTTAACGGGGGGTGAGCATCCCAGAGGTTATGAAGTGGTCAAGCCTTTCAACCACCACCACCTATGCAGTACAGTACCTTCTACAACACAGAAACAGAAAGCCCGCATTCTGCCCATCCTGTCTATCTACCGCGTTTCTCCTGAAGAGGTGAAAAACCACCTTTGGCCACTCCAGCTGACAGCAACCCAGCCCTACAGGGAGGGTGCTCCAGGACACGGAGTCACTGCACCGCAAAGCTGCCGAACTAAAACCGGAGCCCGGAGGCGCAACGCGCCCAGCTCCGGCCACTCGCCGGGGATGTTTCAACGCCCGCCGCAGGGCAGCACCTTCGCCGCAGGGCCGGTGTGGGGACCCGCAACCAGGACACAGGCCGGCCCGGGGGACAGCGGTGACCCTCAGCGCTCCCGCCTCACGGGCAACCCGCCGCGGCTTCCCGCCTGCCGTGAGGAGAAAGGTCGGACGGGGAAGGCGAGGCAGTTCCCCCTCCGCCACACACTGCCGCTTTCGCGCCTTCTCCTCCCTCAGGCTGTGCCTTCCCTTCGAGGACTGAGATAGAACCGCGTCGTCCCCACCTTCCCCCGGGCCGCCTGAGGGTGAGCCCGCCCGGCCTGTCCCGTCCCGGCAGTGTGACATTGGGAGGACACCCGAGCGTACCTTCTTGCCTGCAGTAGGACATGGCGGAGCCGTGCGGTACCTTCCCTGCAGCGCGCACGCAGACTCGTCCCGCCGGGCTCCACCGCTCTCTCCGCTACCACTGACCGCCACAGCAAGCCGTAGCGGCGCGCTGCTCCACGCTATGACCTCCCGCCTCCGGAAGCACCCTCCCTGCCCGCCGGCGGCTGCTGACGCACCTCCTGCCGATCGCGGGCGCGGACTGAGAGCAACTGCTCCGGAGGCCGGGCTGTGGCGTTGGACTACATCTCCCAGCATGCTCCGCGGCTGCCCGGCTGGACTACATGTCCCGGCATGCATTGCGGCTGGGCTCGGCTCGGCTCGGCTGGGCTCGGCTGGGCTCGGCGGTGAGGATAAGGAGGGCGCGGCTGCGGGCGGCTCTCGGTGCGCGGCTCTTGCGGCTTCTCTGAGGTGATACCAGGCGAGACTAAGAGGTCCAACATGTCGAGGAATGTAAGTGCTGCTCGGACCGGTCCGGTGTGTGGTGGTTCCCTGCACTGGCCCGTTCCCGCCCCGCTGAGGTGGTCTGTGGGGGCCGGGGGCCTTGTGCAGCGGAGGGGCCGCTGCCACATCCCGCTTGGCACTTTGGGATGAGCAAAAGCCTCACCTCCTCTCTTGTCTACGTGTGCTAAGCTGAAGTTGCATCTTAGTTGTTCCCCACAGCCAGCGTAGATACGGATAACCCCCCCTGGGCTTGCACGCTTTAACGTGGCACTGGCTAGGACAGCATTAACAGTGGTGTTTTCAGCTCTCTCTTTTTGTTACCCAGGAAGCAAATATTTTAAAGCATGAAGGCGTTTTTCCACTGGTGAGGTAAAATGTAACTTGTTATTTATAGCTGTGTTTTAGCTGCTCTGGAATTCAGGACTATTACTCACGTTGTCATGGCCTGAATGCAGGGTGTGGGCACCAACTAGGGAACCTGGAGACGGGACTGATGGAAGCTTGAAGGAACATGTTGAACCGCTATAACAGAAGTTGTTTTTCCATCAGGCTTCAGTTTTATATAGTGACTGCTTTTCTGGCATTAAAAGCGTGATGAGGCATTTAAGCAGGTTTTGGTCCAAGACAGGAGGTGCTACTCTAGAACAGCACCATTACTCAAGCTAAAAGAGTTATTTTGCAACAGGATGCCTTCCCCTTTCACACCAATATCGCGTTTTTGGTTTGTCTCCACCAGTTCTCTGACACAGGCAGCAGAAAAGAACATGTTAAAATCACAAGTGAGTCCAAACCAGGGTTCCTGGAGAGACTGAGCGAGACTTCTGGAGGCATGTTGATGGGTCTTGTGACGTTTCTTCTGGCTTTCTACCTTCTTTTTACCAATGAAGTAAGTGACATGTGGTCAGTGCTTGTACACAGCTTCAAAACGTCACAGCTGAGATGCCATTCAACTAGTTTTGTATTTACAAGCTAACTAAAATGGTCATGTTACAGCTTTATTCAAGTGTGTTTTAAGGACATGCCTTGAAGGTGGATATAGAAACATCTGCTGTGGCCTTCAGATCACTTGTCTGCCAACCTTTGTCACAAAGTACTGCTATGTCATTGGCTCTCCACAACTTGATTTTGCTTTCCTGGGTTGCAGGGCCGAGCTTTGAGGACAGCCCAATCTCTTGATGAGGGGCTTTCGCTTGTGATCCCTCTTGACAACATCCACAGTGTGTCTCAGCAGAATGAAGGGAGACTGGTGCACTTAGTGGGTGCTCTAAGTACGTCTAAGGTAAATAAAAGAATATCTTGAGTATGTATTTCAAGCTTGGAGGGAAGGAAAAGTCTTTACGAATTAAAATGATGTTTAATAGCCAGGAGAAGATACGTAGTTTCTCTCTGTAAGCATTGTTGGTGTTGCTTCTTGGCCTGCAATCAAGGAGATGCTCTACAGCCTTGGTCTCCCTCTAAAGCTGTGTGCCACCTCTAAAGCTGTGTTTACCTTCCCATTGCGGGATTGTTTGAATTCCCTTTTGTATAGAGAACCTGTTGTGTATTCATGGTACTGTGAAGTCTTCAGGCTCTTCCAGTACAGAGGCTCTGCAAGTTCTGTCTTTTCAGTAGTGAGGACATTCTCTGTGGGCAGCCTGGGTTGCAGAAGGTGACACAGCACAGTAGTTTCTAGCAAAATAAAACCTCCCCCTGATTTGAACACTTAAGTCTGCATCCCATCAGCATTTCTGACTTTATTTTTCACTGTGGCAATAATATTTGATGATGGTTCTTTAGCTCAGATTTATCAGTGCTAAAAAGGGATGGTCCTGTTTGTCTTTCAAAACAGTTCTACTGTATTCAGCTGTGGGTAACATAGTCCTATGTACACTGAGGTATGGAAATGGGTTTGATAGTATAGTACAGTTTGTGAGGTACAGCATTTATACTGACCTGTGCTTTCTCTTCTTTTTGCACAGCCTTTGTTTGATCCCAGCTATGGGCTCTCCATCCAGGCTGTCAAACTTAAGCGTAACGTAGAAATGTACCAGTGGGTAGAATATGAAGATTCCAAGTAAGCGACAGTAACCTTTAAAAGCTGTTTATGAAGCTGTTGTATTAACAGGATCCCATCACATTTTTTTTCTCTCCCCCCACTCAAGTAACCCCAGCTCCTTATGGCAGGAGAATTCTGTTCATAGTTTCAAGCAGAGGAGGGAAAACATTTCTGTTGTTAATAATACTTCCTCTGACAGTAGTATACAAATTATTAGCTATTAAGTAGGTCTGAGTCCACAGAATTCACGTTCCAAATGTCTTTTATGTCATACAAAAAAGCCTGTTAGATGTAAAAGTGTGAAAAATCACTTCTCTGTGCAGCTTCTGTAAAAGACTTGTTAATTTAGGTCAGCTTATCTCACTGTCTTTAATACTGGTTGTTGCCATCTATCTAGTCAGCACCTACTTGGCAACATGGGAGTAAAAGGGTTGTGGCTGTTCAGCATTTGTGTGTAGTATTGTCCTTGTATTGAGAATCTCTGTCTTCAGAACAGAGACTTAGTTTGCTTGCAAAGACAAGTTTGCATTGCCAGTGAGCTGTCTGTGTTCCATTTGTAAAGTGTGTTCTGCCCTGAGCAGGGGTGTGTGTTCTGGTACTCATTCCACCCCTTTTCTCTCCAGGGAATATGAAGAGAACGGTGAGATTAAGAAAGAGACAAAGTATTCATACAGTAAGTCTAGCAACAGAAGGTCCCTTTTCTTTTATATGTAACTTCGAACTTTTATGTGTGTGGATTTTGACGTCTGTTGTAAACCTTCTATTTTCATGTTAGGAAAGAAAGGAATGTGAAGAAATAAGCAAAAATTCTGTTTCCTAAACAAATGACAGGACCTCCCCTTCTGGAGGTAACTGATATGAAAGGAGGTGTGCTGTTAATAAACAGCTACTACAGAAAATCTAAGTCTTGAAAGTCTTTGAGGTTCAGAGCAGCATCCAGGAACAGGGTGCTCCAGAGATAGGGCCTGTAAGGTCCTCAGTGTCAGGAGATGGGCAGAGGTGGGAATGTGTTCAAAGCTACTCCTGAGAGCACTCATCAGAAGTGGAGTAATTGGGCATGTATGTAGTGTGAGCAGAGGAGAAGGGAAGAGCAGTGCAGCTCCAGTCTGTAAGACAGCCTGTTGAGAATGTGTTCAGGTGTTGATATCAGCTAATGAAAACCACCAGCACCTTCTGATGTGTACTGTGGCCTTTGCCAAAAGCTTTTTTGGCAGGAGCAGAACTGAGAGGATTATTCTGATCTACCCAGTGGCAGAAAAACCCTCTGAGTCATCAAGTATCTGCAGTTTGGGCTCTGTGCTTCATTTATCTCTGCTGAAAACAGATGGATGTGTAACGTGGGTGTGCAGCAGTTTCTGGGTGTGATCATAAAAATACCCCAGCTCCAGTGAAGCATGGGACCCTGCAGCATGGGCATACATAAGGAGCTGTGAAAAACAGGAGATTGGAAAGAAGAGGAATGAGGGAGCTTGTGGGTTGAAATAATGACAGGGAGGTTGCTTAGCAGTGGGCATCGTGGGCAGAATGGACTCACCTTGGGGAATATTAGGTTTATTCTCAAGTAAATATTTAATTACTGGTTTGGGTGTTGGCAAAACACATTTGCTCTCACCCTTTCCCAGGCTTTGGAAAATTGAGTTACAAATTTATCCTTCAAATCCTTTTTCTTTTTTTCCCCAAGTCCTGCCATGCCTTGTTAATATGCTGGGAGGATGGATTTAAGTATCAGTACAGGCTGTCACATACAGACCTTGATGTGAATACTAGAAGTATAACTTGGAACTGATTAGTTGACTGAGAGGTGTCTTCAGTAACTATGACCTGTGTGTAAATTCTTCCTGTGTACTCCTCAACTGTCATGTTATTTTCTTTAGACACTGAGTGGAAGTCAGAAGTTGTGAACAGCAGGAATTTTGACCGAGAAATTGGGCACAAAAACCCCAGGTAAGTTACTGCCTAGCACAGTCCTTCTTGGTTCTGTCCTTGTATCTGGTCGAAGTTAAAAGCTAAATGACCCATCTTCATGACACAGTGATGTAGATGGAAGCTGTTAGTCTTTTGCTAGCTGGGAGACCTAAAGGATAGAGAAATTGGGGAGCAGTTCAAAGCTGCCTGGTGGAACCAGAATTAAGCTATGCAATGGCTGGACATCAGGCTACTATTACAATACCTCTGGACTATGTGGTCTTCGTGTAGAACTTGAATGGGTTCCTTCTGACTTTTGTTGTTTGTTAGTGCAGTCTGTCACAAATTCTATTACAAGTGGACTGTTAGAACAGGAGGCATCCCAGGAGCTTGTCATGCCACTTCATCCTGCTTTCTCTAAGCTGGCATGCATGAGCTCATCAGCTTATTTGTGGCAATCTCCCATATATAATTTGTTTCATATAGCTCTCATCTGAAACACTGTAGTTACACTACAACTAACATTGTAATTACACTACAAGGTGCCATTTTAATGCTAAGTTTTAGCTGGGTACAAACCAAGAAGACTCAGTGTAACTGTGGTGGATCCTCTCATGAGACAGTGTGGTGTGTGCAGACCTGCTGAACTTTAAGAGTTCATGCCTTGCATGAATGAGACTCTATTTTAAGTGTGTGCTATGTGTCTTCCTTCCCTCCATACAACTTAGACATTTGTAAAAATAAAATCTCTGGTCTCCTGCCAAGGAGATTCCAATAGTACTGCTGGTGGGAATGAAGACTGTAAGTAAAGGAATCGTGAGTCTGGAATGTTACTAACTTGGCTGTGATGTAGAAGTACCTGTATATGGAGAAGGTTTGTGATGTAGGTTTCTTGATTTAGCAGGTAAGATCCAGCAGTTGACAGGAGAAGCTAAATAAATTCAGGCTAGAAATAAAATGCATTTATGGGTGTAGTTAAATGTTGCAGGAACTCATCTAGGAACGTGATTAAATCCTCATCGCTCAAAACCTCTATAGCACCATAGAGAAGCTTCCTAGTGCAATCCCGCAGTGTGACTGGAAGGTTGGGCTGGGGGATGAGACAGTCATGGCTTGTCTGAAGTTATTTTAATGGCTCCAACACTGTGAAATCTGGACACAGTTTCTTGATGGTTTTGTTTTCACATCATTACAGCCATTCAGCTCTGAGTTTCTCGTGATGTTTGACCTTTTATCTGCTGTGTACTACATACTGCAGATGAAGAGCTTGATCATAACTCCAGGACTAATCAGGGGCTCTCTCTGTTCCTCAGTGCCATGGCTGTGGAGTCTTTCACTGCTGTTTCTCCTAACGTCCAAGTTGGCAGCTTTGTTCTTTCCAAGGGTAAGGATTGCTTTGTGTTGGCTCTGGGTCTGCTGTTGCATCATGAGTGGACTTTGGTTCTTTCAACAGTGGTGATGATTTCAAGTGACAATGAAGAAGCCAGCCAGGAAATTGCCTGTTCCAAGTTAGACACTGGACATGAGCTTGGTTCCTTATTCTGCTTAGGTCTTGTGGATAAAATCGATGACTTCAAGCAGCTGAGCTTGGCACACCTTGAAGATCCCCATGCTGATGTTACCCGCGGAGGAGATTACTTTTACCACAGTGACAACCCCAGGCGACCAGAAGTAAGATGGGAAAGAGAAACCAAAGCAGTGATTGCTCTTAAGTGAAAAAGAAAGCTGGAGCATGCCCCATTCCTGTTTACATATGTAGAAATCAGAGTGCAGACCATCCCAGAGATAACACCCTTAGTACTGTCCCCTTCAGCACAAGTGCTTTGCTTGCAGAAAGCTTCTGAGGCTGCTTTTGTCTTCTGTTTTCTTGAGTCTGCCATGCTTTTAAATGGAAAGACACAGGATGGTGCTGGGAGGCGAGTTCTAACTCTGCCTTGCTGTACTAAATCTAGTACAATGACATGAGTGCCGCTTGCCCTTCTCTGCCAAGAAATAACATGACAAGGGATGAACAAAGGGTCTCGCTGGTGTTAATGTGCTTCTCTAGCTAAATCAGAGGGGGTGTTGCACCATTTGAGCTGCCCTGTTTTGGCTATCGACTAGGCCTGAAAAAAAGTACAGCTTGGAAATCATGCTGAGTATCCTCTGGCTTGAAATAAGAGCTGATGCAGAAAGGATGTTCCCATGCAGGGGTATCTTTCCTGTGATTCTTCTTTGTAAAGGAATCCTTCTTGACTTCCACTGTTCCGTCTGTAGGTGGGAGATCTTCGTGTCTCATTCTTCTATGCAGGTCTGAGTGGAGATGACCCCTATTTGGGCTCTGCTGAGATGGTGAGTCCTGACCTGTTCCTGTATTTCACAGACTCTGTTCCCAGCTCAGTCACCAGTAAATGTTCTCCCTTTCTCACAGGTGACTGTGGTCGCTCGCCAGCGAGGAGATCAGCTGGTGCCGTATCATACCAAGTCCGGAGATGTCCTGCATATCCTGTACCCTGGGGACCTCACTGTGGAGGTGAGATACACACTGGAGTGGTGAGGGGATCATATTGGAGATGGTAGTGCAGAAGCAGCACTGCCGGCTCTGGTTTGCTCCTAACACACTGGAATCAGGAGGATGTGGAGAGGAATGGAGGGACAGGCTGCATGTGATGGTGTTTCCTTTCAGGAAGTGTTTCAGAAGGAGCACCAGGGGAACACCATGAAGACCTGGGCGCTGCGTGGAGCGGGCTGGCTGGCGATGTTTGTGGGCATCAGCCTCATGACCCGAATCTTCTACACTTTGGGTAAGCTGCTTTACAGAAAGGTAAAATGATTTTGATTAATTGCTCACATGTGCAGTTAATTACTTTGGAGGGCAGAAGGGATCTGGTTTGGATCTGAAAGCTGCAGTAGGCAATTTCAGGGAGACAGGATCCCAGAACTGGATGGCTGCTTTCTGAACATTAAAACATTGCCAGTTTCGACAGCCCCCAGCCCAGTGCTCACCAAAACCAGGGTGAAGATTGTGTTGGGCTTCCAAGTCCAAGGTGCTGCAATCCAGTTACTCTCTAAACCCACACACAGGTGGTCCCCCAAGAGGTCTCAGTGGTTGTACAGTAACATGTCTGTGTGTCTGGTTATTTTACACTGCTGTGAACAAACAGCAAGGAAAGCTTTTATCCTTCTAACATAGGAAGATGTTGGAATAAAAACACAGAAAAGCAGATGGTGCCTCAAACCTGTATAAACTCCAGACATCAAAGCTAACATTTGCTTTGTAGCTGTGAGCTTTTTTCCCCCTCTGTATTATCCATAGACATGCTACTGCAAGATTATTGTTGCCAGAAACCAGTTTGTGTTTCGTGTTACGTATCAGTTGCTCTAGACTTGTTCCATAGCTGCAAGGCTATCAGGCTGCTCTGCCTCTCAAACCTCGGACATGTCTTCTGACTTAATTTGGGATTGCTTCCTGTCTGAGGAGATGAGGATTCCATTGCCTTTTATATTTAGCTCTTGCTTAGTTATCAAATGCCTTGAAGATGCTCTATTGCAATGCCTTACCCAGTGCTCTTGATAAATAATTGGAGTCTGTCTTCCAGTTGCAATAGTGAGCAAATCCTAAACATGATTTCCTGTTAAACCATCATTTATCAACTCCTTTATCCCTGATTTAATTCTTTCTGCAGTGGACTGGTTTCCTGTTGTGAGAGATCTGGTTAACATTGGATTAAAGGCGTTTGCCTTCTGCGTGGCCAGTTCGCTGTCACTCCTGACCATCTCTGTGGGCTGGCTCTTCTACCGGCCCCTCTGGGCTCTGCTCATCGGGCTGCTCTCTGTAGTGCCCATTGTGGTGGCAAGATCTCGTGTCCCACCAAAGAAGCAGCAGTGAGGAGGAGCTGCTCAGGGTTGGGCACTGGATCCCTGATAGGAGACTCCTCCAGTGCGTTCCTGTCCTGGTTACTGCAGCACGCTCACAGCGCATTCCAGGCCAGCAGCGTTTGTGCAGCTCTGGGCAGGGGCTTGCTACACGTTACTCATGAAAATGGGACTCTGCTGGTGTTTGCAGAAGTCAGTGACATTGACTTTTTAGGGGGGAAAAAGGCATTTTGGAGTGTCTGTGTTGATCAGCAAACCCAGCAGTTTGTACCTCTTATGGCTCACTAGCTCCTGATTTGAGCACTGGCAAGTCCTCAGTGACAGGCGAGGCACCTTCTGTGTCATGGAGCAAGCACCAGCTTCATCCTATGGAGGTGATCAGGTCTCCTTAGGAAATACATATGTGCCTGTGACTAACCTCTCTCTGCAGCCTGTTCTCTGCACTGTCACATACGCTGCTTTGGCTGATGCATTAGGAGGTGGGTGTGTGTGTCCAAAGGGGAACCACAACTTAGGTTTCACATGATGCTCATGTAAAATGTACACTTTTGGACTGGGGGTTTTCAGAGTGACTTGCAATAACAAGCAGTCAGGTGCGTGTGCCCTGAAGCAGTGCAGATTTGGCCCAAAGCATTGATTTCCCTCAGGTTTTTATACAACTCCAAGTTGGTCTTGGTTAAGCATCCAAAACAGAAGAATGGACTTACACCACTGTGTAACTACATCAGACATGGACCTTTCAGTTGCACTTACTTAAGGGGTACTCCGAGGTCACCAACCTCCAGAAATCAAGCCTGCTGCCTTGAAACAAAAGTAACTTTTATAATTGAATGTATATTCTTTGTATTTGGGGTTTTTTGCTGTGAGTATTGTGTCTTTCTTGAATTTCACTCAATAATGACAATGAACATACTCCATGAAATTAAACCATGAAAACAAGTTGTGTCTGATTAGATTTCATAGAATTTATTAGCCTGAATTTTGAGCTTTTGTGTTTGTATCACGTTAAAGGGATGTCACCTTGTGTCCAATGCAAAAGTAATGTCTTCATTTACTTTTGCCAAAGGCCTGTAGGGACAGGCCAAGGGGAATGGCTTGAACCTGCCAGAGGGGAGACTGAGCTGAGCTCTTAGGCAGAAGCTCTTCCCTGTGAGGGTGCTGAGGTGCTGGCACAGGGTGCCCAGAGAAGCTGTGGCTGCCCCATCCCTGGCAGTATTCAAGGCCAGGTTGGACGCAGGGGCTTGGAGCAAGCTGCTCCAGTGGAAGGTGTCCCTGCCCGTGGCTTGCAGGGCAAGAGCTGCTCCCTGCAGGATTAGCTGCCTGCAGGGGAGGTGTCATGGACCACACACCCTTTTTTCCATGTTTTATTTCATTCTACAAATACAGTACAAAAATAAAGCTTTTTTTTTCTGAACATAAGCATAAGCCATCTTCTTGCATGTCCACCTTTCCTCTGTGCCAGTGCCCAGCAATGACTAGACTATTCCCCTCTATTTCTGAAGAGACAGTGTCAGTGTAACTTATGTGTAACTACAACTGATAGATGAGCATTTCTACGGCAGGAAAAGCTGGTGCAGATGTAACATACATCCCAACAGCTTTTAAATGCTGAGGGACTGGGTAACAGTTACACAACCTCTCTGTTTTGTTTCTCCTAATAATGCTTGGCCATCTGTACAGGTTTTGCCTCAGAATGTACCCACGTGGTCTCGACAGCTGAAGTAATTTGAATATGTGTGTATATATGTATACATGTGTATATATATTTTAATACATGTGTGTATTGAAATTAAGATGTATTGAAACTTAAGTCTGAAGTGAGGAGAGGGCTTCTCCCTTCTAATGCAGACTACATCTGAAAGCAAAGGAAGACGCAGGCTGAAAAGCCAAACCTGTGTTTCACAAACAGCAGGAGTCCTTAGGAAATAAACTCCCACATTCCTCCAACTCCTGGCTGCATGTTACAACCTCAGGGGAGCTATTGCCCCTTGTGTGATGAGGCAGCCTGCCCAGAGCTTCGCCTCACCACTGATGTAGGTAAGGTACAAATCAAATGAGATGTCAGTAGTTCTGTGGCCGGCTTGCTGCAGACTGAAACAGCAGCCACGTGCTGTTGTCCTGAGCAAGCAGGAAAGAAGGGGAAGGAAAAAAGTAAAAAAAGCCAGTGCTAATGGAGGAATGCCTCAGAAAAGTGAGTTATTAGTGCCAAGTGATGTAGAAGAGAGGAGAAAACCCTGACAGCATAACCTGACCTCAGAAGGTACTGCTGCACATCCATGTCCAAGGATAAAAGGATGGATCTCATTACCTGTGACAGCAAAAGCAGCTCTGGATACTGAGTGAGGCTGGTCCCTGCCAGCTCAGAAGCGTAAGTGAAAGGGCTTAGTCCTCCTAGGGAAAGTGACTGGTAAGGGATACCTGTTGTGACTTGTTCCTGCATCTCGAAACAGCAAAGCAAACCCTGTTCTGCTCACAGTTTCTCAAAGGGGAACAAATGGGCTTCCTCCGCTTTCCTTTCTCGCTTGCTCTTTCTGGTTGTCTTCCCTTCCTTTTTCAACTCCAACTGGCGATTCTGGGGCCAGAAGAGATCCACATTCCCTGCTGCAGGCTCTGAGCTCGGCCCTCCTCCTTCTTCAGAAGAGAATCCTGCTCCTTTCTCTGTCGCTGGTGCTGAGGGTTCAGTCTGGAAGAAACAGGCATGAAAATCAAGAAATTGCTCTAGAAACCACTTGTAATTGCCCACAGCAAAGCAAGCACATAATCAAACTGCCCACATAGCCGTCAGAAAACAGGCAACAAATGAAGAGAGACTGAAAGCTCTTCAGGGGAGTCTTTTATGGGAGACAGCCTGTAAAAAAGGTAGGGAACAGTTGGTGTTTTTGTAGCGGTGTTGCTCAGCTGGGTGACAGCCTAAAGCAAAACTCAGAGGGATGGAAGCAGCACTTAGTTCTAGCTGACTCTGGTGAGCTCTTGTAGACTCAGCAGTTACACACTGATCATCAGCCCTCTGTGGGGCTGGGCCATCTCCATCTCATGCATTTACCTATGGAGCATGTGTCACCTCCACCGCTATAGTGTGGGTTCCACCATCCCCTGGGATTGGAACTGGATGAGCTTTAAGGTCCCTTCCAATCCAAATCACTCTGTGATTCTATGACTCTCTGAAATACCACCCTGAAAAAGAAATCACTACTAGAAATGCAGGTACCTTGAAGGAGTAGCGTTTCTTCAGTCTCTCCCTGATGAGAAGTCCTTTTATCAGCAGCTTCCAGTTCCCCAGAACTCTCTTCTCACGCTTCTACACGGGGTTGTTATGGAGAGAAATTTACTACTGTAAGTTTCAATGTACTTATACCCACAGGAAATGGAACTTTGAAGATGTGAAACTGCCATTAAAAAAAAACCCACATCAACTTACATGTCTCACATTACAAGATTCTTAACAGCAAAACGTGTTGGTGTCCAGTTACCTGCTAAACACACGCTGCCACTTTCTAATGTGCTCCCTGACTGTAAAGTACACCAGAGCCACCTCCAAAACTGTAACCTCCTGTGTGTATCCCTCATTTTGGAACAAAATTGTTGGAGCAAGTCCAAAGGAGGCCGTGGAGATGCTGTGAGGGTTGAAGCAGCTCTGCTCTGGAGCCAGGCTGAGAGAGCTGGGCTGGGTCAGCCTGGAGAAAAGAAGGCTCCTGCAGGGGAGACCTTGGAGTATCTCCAGTGCCTAAAGGGGATGCAGGAAACCTGGAGAGGGGCTTGGGCCAAGGGCCTGTAGGGACAGGCCAAGGGGAATGGCTTTAACTTGACAGAGGGGAGATGTAGATAGGCCCTACATCTACATGAGCTCCATGCTTCCTGCTCAGAAGAGCTCCATGCTTCCTGCTCCAGAAGCATGGAGCTCCATGCTTCCTGCTATGAGCCCACCCTTGTTTAATGGTCCACAGTTTCAATTTATTTAATAAATAGGGAAGCTGCAAAAGTAATTCTCACCTCTTGCTCCTTCCTTTCTATTTCTGCTTGTTCGTTCTCCCAGGCAGCAATGAGCACCTCTTTAAACTCCTCACAGACAACGTAGCCATCGATGCTAGGAAGGAAAACATAATTGTGTCAGCTACTAGAAGGAAACAGAAAGGGACCAAATGCCTGCTGACCAGAACTGCTTTACCAGTGTAGCCCATCAGATGTAGTCCTTAACACAGGGTATACAGCTTGTGCAGGACAGCAAGATCTGTCAAGTGCAACAAAGCAACTTTACATACACTGGGTGTGAGTAGCCACCGTGAAAATCAAATCCAGTGATGGCCTGAGCACAGTCAATGTCCAACTTCCGCGCCACTCTGTTCAGATTTGGGAGCTTCAGCTGCACACAGCCAATGGGTAGCATGGATGGCAGGAAGAGATAAACATTTCCGTATTCATTCCGAGGAACCTGTCATTGAAAGTCAAAGAGAAACAGTGAGAGTCCCTGCTGCACCACAGGGACTCTTCCTTCCTGCTGACCTGCTGTTTCACTCCAGCACTCAATTAGTATTCACATGACAAGGCATGTGCCTTGATTTTACCTGCATGGTTATCTCCCAGCTATGTTCTCTGCCTAGGCCTTGCTACTCAGGCTGCAATGCAGAGAATCAGCACAACAAACATGGGATAGGACACTTAGATCAATGAAATGATGAAGCTGGCAGCCTGCACTGCAAGCACTCATTACTTGGACTGGGGAAGGTCCTCAGTGAAGTTCTGACCATTTCCTTCTGGGTGCAGTAACCTCTGAACTCTTAATCCTGAACCCAGAGGTTATTGATGGTGATTTCACCTCTGAAACATGCAACTTCAGGAAAAATAAAGCCCACAGCTCCATAAAAATACTGCCTTCACCAGCTGCCTTCCCAGCTACCTTTCCATCCACTGCTACAGGCGGCTGAAACTCCTCTGTCTGCCAGCGGCCAAACAGCGCCAGGTCCTCCTTGTCCTGGTTTGCAGGCTCTGTGAGACGTGCCTTCCGGGCCTGGTTGGAAAATCCCTTCACCATCTGCACAAGTACAATGACCAAGCCTGTAATACTGCAACAACAAGCTGCCAGTGTCTTCAGACTTCCCTAGGACATCAAAGGAGAAGGCTCTGCGAGGGAAGAAATGCCCATTTCCTAGCATCAGTATCTATTGCTTGTAAGTGGTAACCCACAGCGTCTGTACGCAAAAGGGAGCCAGATTGTGCAGTTCAGACAGAACTCTAGGATGCCTTTGAAGATGGAAAGTACACAACTCTGCTCAATAGCCTTGGGGTGGGAAGAAGAGACACCTGTGCTTTTGGTATATAGGGACTAGAGGCACAGATTCCCAGTACAGACACCACAAGCTATGCAAGTGAGAAATATACATCTGCTGACAGAGAGAAGGCAAAACCCAAACCAGAGCCTGAACTTTAGAGGGCAGACGAAGTCAAACTCTCTTACCTTGTAAGGCACTTCTCCAATCCTCACCACACGAGCTTGCTTCAGCCAAGTGTCTTTGGAGTGCAGTGTGTGTACACAGTCCCTATAAAGGCCAGAAGGAAGGAACCATAAGAGTTCTGAAGTTCAGAGAAACTGTTAACACATTAGGGATAGTAGAAAAGGTGTATCTAAGTGATACACAAATGCTGTCTGAGCAGCTAAATGCCTCTCCTTGTCTATGCAGGTGGCCTTAGACTACTGCTGATACTGCACTACTCACCTGGAGTAGACAGCCTCTCCCCTGCAGTACCCCAGGATAGCAGCTGACTCAGGATAGATCGCCTGGTATTTCAGGAGGTGCCTCTTCAGCACATAGAGAGGATGGTTTTTATACTCTCCAATTGATGTTGGTAGAGGTTGATCCTGAAGCTTAACTTGAAACTGTAGGAATTGTACAAAAGAAAGAGTGATTTCACAACTCTCCTGCACCACTCTTTGTAAGAAAAGA